GCCCTCCATGGTCCAATCTCATGAGGTCTGCTGCGGATCCGGTGAGGGTTGCGGTGCTAGTGGAGCAGCAAGGGGAGAACGAGACGGAGGCCCCTTTCGGGACCTTGTGGTCCGGATCTGGCGTCGGGGCCGCCGTCTGCAGTCCTTGTGGCCGTCGTGGACATGCCTCCTTCTTGCGCATCTTGGAGTCCACTTCGGCACGCCGTCGGCGTGGTCCCCTGGGCGGCAGCCGGAGTTCGCTGCTCGCCGGCCAGGAAGACCCTTGGCACGGTGGCACCCCCTCCCCCGACCCATGGTGTCGACTAACGTGCTTGGGTGTCTACTCTACCCGGCTTCTTACTCCGGGCCAGCGGCGGTGGCGCAATCTGCGTCATTTTCCTTCGTGAAGGTGTTGTCGAAGCCTGTCTGCACCGTTCGGGTCGTTGGGGCAGGCTCCGGGATGAAAAAGCTCTGTTCATCCTATGGATGAAGATCCTACCTGTGCTTCTCCGAACGTTGTTGGCATCTGCGGATGTCATCCCCTTGTTGAAGGCTTCGTTTGGGGCACTCTAGCTGCCACAACTCTCTTAACCGCGCGTCGATCGTCGGTGTTGCTACCTGCTCTGCTGTGCCTATCTGTGCTTCCACTCTTTCTTCGCATTGGTTTGTCCTTCGGTGTTTGTTGTTGCCGCTGTCGTTCGGTTCTTTGGCGGATGCTTTGCCGCTGTTGCTGCTTGGGTGGATGCTTGGCCACCTCGTCGCTTCGGTCTCCAAGCTCATTCAGCTGCAGAGCAGTGTGATGGCCCTCATTACAGATGCTTTGCCCTAATGGTCCTTTTCCAGCGGATGCTTGGCCGCCATGGTCGTTTCTCGTGCAGATGCTTTGCCGCTGTTGTCGTGCCGGCTCCCTTGGCTTCCTTGGTGGATGCTGGCTATCGCGGCTACACTACACCTTAGGTTACCAATGTGTTTTTGTCTTCCTCTAATAGGCTCAATCTGTAAGGGTTTGCTGGTGGAGGCCCCCGTGCTTTCTTACTGTATCGTTTGTGCTTATGGGATTGCGCGGGTAATTCTAGGATTACCGGCCAGTCCTTTGTAACAAAAAAAAAACTCTGCTTCTGCTTAATGAAATCCATACCTGAGGTACGTTCGAAAAAAAATCAATTTTTCACCGTGTTTCTCTCTCCCCTCCGTTCGCTTCTGCATACACTGGAGCTGCCCTAAGGGAGTATCATGTATTCCAAACAAAATCATACCGAGTAGTTTTGGACTCTTGGTTGCTGCTCAGTACACTACAAAAAATATTTTTCTTTTGTTTATAGGCATATGAAAATTCATAGCATTAATGATCCCATCACCAATAAAGTCATCTTTTTTTCTCTTCTCATTTCACACAGGCTCTTGTAAATATTTGGGATTTGAACTAAATCATATGAATAATGGAGGCTGATTTCCTGGCTCTCTAACCACATTATGCACTTTGTAACCATTTTGTTTCATACGTGACAAAGATCTTGGTTATCAGTTGTAAAATATTCCTTTAAATAAATGTTGTTACAAGTGAAACATCATAAGGGAAGCATTTAGCTTTAGATATTTCCTACTTTAATATGAAGAAGTACTGAATATAATAATTTGTAGGGTTCTCTCATCAACATGGCTGGCCCTAAGCGAGGGGTCCATATGATGGACCTTGCTCTAATCGAATATGACATGAGGATCAAGACAAGTTAAGTGAACAAGAAAAGGATGACCTAAATCTGATTGATGGTGCATCAATGATAGGCCTTGCAGGCTTATGGAATTATCCATTTACAATGTGCATCCCTGGTGATTGTGGTGCAGTTAACCTAACTTTAGCACGTCTTGATGATGCGGTTGAGGCGACTATAGAGGTCCTCATATCGGAAGTGCAAAACAGTTTCAGTTTGTTTTTTGGTTGTTTAACCAGTGGGTTGAATAAGGAAATCCAGCTCTTTGATGGTGCCGTAGCCAAGTCATGTGGCTTAAGGAGGTCTGTGGTTGCTGTAGTGAATGATTCATCGATAGATTTGAAGTTCAAATTAGGCTCACTGTTATCCAGTTCCGACCAACATTACTGTTCGTTCAACACGAAAACCCATGGGCATGATACCCAGGAAATAAAGACTGATTTTGCATTAATCTCAGTAAAGGTGACTTGGTCAACTTTGCCGGATGGGACACGAGGCTACTACGAGTGGTAAAACTAAAAACTTAGGTAGAGTGGCTGCAATCAAACATTTTTATGAATTCATAAACTTAGGTGTGGCAAATTTGTAGAAACTATTGTGACAAGTAAGTCTTTGTACTTTTTATTTTCACATTCAGGTTAACATGCAATAGTGTTATACTGCTATTACAGGAAACAATGCGGAAACCTTGTTGTCCTCAATCCTTTTTTTGCAGCTGCAGCCTTCATCATAACTGAACGGCTAGCAAAGGCTATAGTCTGTGACCAATTGTGTCTCTCTGTATCTGGCATGTGGAAGCAGTTGCAAAAAAGCCATATTCGCCTATGCAGTATATCCCACCTGTGGTTACAGCTTCGGCAAAGCGAGATAAGCTACTTCCTATCTTCGCCACTGGAAATATCGTTGTTGCTGTCCCTAACATCCTCCTCTTCTGCCCTACTCTTCCTCCTCACAAACCCAATATTTATTATCTGCCTTCTTTCTCTTCCTATTTCTCTTCTCCCTCTAATTCCTCCTTGGGCTTGTCATACGTGAATTTTTCAAAGTTATAAGCAGTTTTCAAGTTCCTCCTTGGATTTGTCATGCGTGATTTTTTCAAAGTTATAAGCAGTTTTCAAGGGAACTTTGATAATTCTTCTTAGGTCGTGCACTGTCATGATGTTTCCACTAGGAAGGTTCTTAATAATCGGGAGTAATTTTTTTTTCCAAAGATGCTAGTAACTCTCTTAGTATGACAATGTTGCAACAGTCAAAGGATTTAGATATATGTTTAAAGATGTATCATTCCGTATGACCGCAGTAGACAAACTATTGAACTTATGCAAGACATCAAATAAATTTATCATAACCAATGACCTCACAATACTAATGTCACCATTTGCAACAAGATTATGGCAATTTTCTCCAATCTTCAAAAGCAGTTGTGTTGCTGAATTATTGAGCCTTATCTAAACATACCAAATAAATAATGTTATTCTTCGCTTATTGTATTCAAAGGTCATATGGAAGGTGCTCTTTTCATGTGTTATGAAAACCTCGGCACGTGGTTCAATATAATCTAGGTGCCCTTTTCACTAGGTACCTTTTTCAGGTGTCGTGAAAATCTCGGCACCTGGTTTTCAGGTGTCATGAAAACCTCGACACCTAGATCAAAATAATCTGATCTCGCGCATAAAGGGCATGGCAATAGCTTTTCTAATATTAAAAAAGCCATATAAATTAGGGCATGGCTAGCGCCTGGACATCCAGACGGACGGGTGCGTCCAGACGCCCGCGCAGCCCGACCCCTAGGCCTTGGCCGAACAACATAAAACACTTGCAATATGAAAAACATTTGAATGCAACATACGTGTAAAAATAGATGAAACATTTGGAACATGCACTTGCAACATGTTTGTGAAACACATGAAACATTCAAATTGCAACTTGCAACATGAAACCACTTGTTGCAACATAAGACTAAAAACAACTGAAACATTTAGAACATACTGTTGCAACATATGTATGAAATATATACAATATCCAGATAAAAACGATTGCAACATACGATAAAACATTTTGAACAAACGTTTGCAATACGCCTCTGAAACACTTGGAACATAAGCAACATGTGCAACATCCCCGATCTACTTTTGTAACATCAAGATGAAATAATTGCAACATACATTTAAAACGTCTGAAAACACTTGAAACATATATATGCAACATAGGGGAGGGGAAGGCCGGGGCCGGTCGATTCCGACCGTTGGGGTGGGAGACGGCGGTGAGCCGCGGCGTGCGAACACCACGCCGCGCTCGTGGGTACCCTTGCCTCGGCCGGGGAAGATCTAAGGCGGCACGACACGTGCGCCCCAGCGGCCATGACGACGTCAGCGACGCGCATGACAGTGATGGGGGACAGACGGATGGCGAGAGAGCGAGCGGCGCAGGTGATTGGGATGGGCACGCGCAGCCGGCAATGGGGCGTGGGTACGACACGGCAGCCGACGAGCACGTGGTGAGGGAAGGGGGTGTCATGGCAGGGCGGAGTGGGCACGGATATATTTGTTTTCTTAAGAGCGTATGAGTGGACGAGGATGAGCCATGTCTGGACAGAAACGGACGCTCGTGGCCCAGCATTTATAAATATACATTAATATTAGAGCAGCATCTCAGGGAGTACGAAATTGAAGGCAACACACGGTGAGCCAGGCAATCTTCCTAAGGTTACTCTCCGGATCGTCTGTTTGGCGAATCTCAGGGCCTGCACAGTGGACCTGGTCGGCTATGCTTCAGTTTTGGTACTAGCTATTGAATTATAATATGAAAACAATACTCATGTTCATCTAAGGATCTCAAAGTAGCAAATCACCGCACAGTCTGCATTTCTAAGGTGTTACAATTGTACACGTTCCATCCATTCCAGTCTCAGCATCCACGTAAATCGCAGGCCAGCGTTGCGCACGAGCCTTACAGAATAATTCCCGATCAATTGAGCCCAGCAAAAATCACAAACCGTTCCTCCTGCATCCAATGATGAAACTACACTTTGACCAAATGCTCACTCACTAGTCACAACTGCTCCCTCTGTCCCTAAATATTTGTCGGCACGATTTGTGCGTCGATAACTGACTCGATTTATAGAAAACGCGTGCAACATTTCTATCTCCAAATAAATTTATTAAAAAACTATATTCAAATATCTATCCAATGACACTAATTATGTATCATAAATATTAATATTTTTTAATATATATTTAGTCAAAGTTGTTTCTCGGGAAGCAAAAACAACAGACATTTAGGGACGTGAGGAGTACATCACACAACGCATCAATGTGCAGTGGAAGTGCTAGCCTTATCAGCTGCGGTTCTGACATAACCCAAACCTTTCAGCTTCTCCACCAGCTTCCTCTCCGCAGCAGCCTGAATGCATGAACCAGTGAGCGTCAGATACACACCATCAGAAGATTGTCGTGCAGAGATGAGCCCGCCTGTGGCTGTGGGTACCTCGAGCATCGGGCTGTCTTTTGGGATGTTGCATGCCAGGACTATGTTCAGACCAGTCTTCAGCACTAAAACATGTGGGAGAGCAATCTTTCTGTTACTAAAAGCTACCATGAGTGCAGGGCAATTCATTACTGCAACTGACAACAGAAACAGTACCTAGACGGCGGGCCATGCTTGATCCAGCGTTATCAGACGTTCCACCTAGTACAGAGGTGACGCTCACTCTGTTATCCTGCAAGCGCCATGAGAAGGCCGCATAGTGAAAATAACAACAGAAATAACAAAAATATCAGTTCTCATGAGGCAATACTGCAAAAATGACACAAAATGAAATAATTAAACATCACCTTTCTAAGAGTAAAGCAATTACTGCTTACCGGCCTAGTGGTTGCAGCAGCATACAAATGGCCAAACTTTGTTGTGTTGCATCCAACCCACACATAGATCTACATCAATAAGTATAAAAAGGAAAAACTCAGATGGGATCACTCACATACAGATTCTATGTACATCAATTAAAGAATGAGAGATACCACATTGCAAACATACTGAGAGCATTGAAACAAATATTCATCCAAAATATCATTGAAAACATGCTGAGAGCACCGAAACAAACATACATCTAAAAATATCATTGCAAACAGGCCAAGAAGATTCAACAAAATCACATTTAAAGTATGGTGAATGTAGAGAGTACAGCAGCAAATCAAGTTTTTTCCTGATAGATTTTAGTCCTGGTATTACAAGTGATACAAAACATTTTCAAGTCATAACCATGATTGGTAAATAAACAGTTCAAGCTTTGCTCACAGTGACAATGTGGAAAGCGAAACACTTAAAAACTGGCATACTTTCATGTCATTGAAGAGACATACACATACAGGAAATGATTGTAACATCAGGGTTCAAATTTAATTGCTTTTCTAAAAGAAACTTGATAGACATAAGGTACACCTTTCTTTTACCAGATGGCTAACACATATAGCGAGCGAACTACTAATACCATAACAAGGCTACAATTAGTGCACTTTCTTCCAGGTGAAGGGTTTTTCTGTCATTTTTTTTTCTCGAACTACGCAGGAGAGCTGCGTGTCATTTCATACCACGAGGTGCCGTCAACGAGTCGGGTTGTAAGGGTTTCTCTGTCTTACCTATAAATCTTTATTTTCCTTTTCGTGTTACGCTTGGCTGTATGGATTGGTCCAATAGAGTTGTGGTGGTGAACAGACTACGAAAACGTTGTTCCATACTAAACCAGAAGGATCTTGATTTACTACATAGTTTTCTGATTTCTCAGCCTATTCAGCCCTAATTGTGTGGCAACAGTATTTGAACAACCATAGATCATGAGTACAAGATAGACGTGCCATGACATTCTATTAACCTTGTCTTACTGAAGCGCACAGCCATAAGCCAACTTTATCATAAAAGTGAACAAAATTGAAGTCTGTCACTAGTAGCGATAACCATGACAGACAAATAAACACTTCAAGGAGTTCAAGCTTTGCTGACAGTGAGACTGTGGAACAGCCAAATACTTAAAAGTGGTATTGCTTTCATGTAATTTGAAGAGACAAACAGGATACGACTATAACTACAGGGTTAAAATTTAGTTTCGTTTCTAAAGGAAACTCTGTAGATATCAGGTAGAGTAGAGCACCTTCTTTTTACCCAGATGGCTAACACATAGAGCAAATGAACAATACAGCAACTATAAGTAATACCATAAGCACTATTCCTTCCAGGAGAAGGGTTTCTCTGGCTTACCTATATATTTTTTTCTTTTTCATGTTGTGCTTGGCTGTATAGCTTGGCCCAATAGAGTTGTGGGGATGAGCAGAGTAAGTAAACTCTGTTCCAAATTTTAAGCCAGTAGGGTCTCGATTTATTACATAGTTTTCTGATTTGTCAGCCTACCTGGTCAGGGCTAATCGGACTATGGAACAATATGTGATCTATCATAGGTCATGAGGACAAGATGGACTGGCAAAATGTTAAAACTAAATGCTATCAGGTCACAAGTTCACATCCTAGTAACTTTATTTTACTGAATGAAAGGGCACAGCCATAAGCAAACTTGATCACAACATTGAACAAAATTGAAGTCTATCGCTAGAAGTGGCATAAGCAATTACTTATATTACAACGAATTCATGACACATCATGAATTTGAACAACTTCCAGTTTGAGTACTTTAATTGCAGCCAAGAAACCTTATTTACCTGTTTAGGGAACCTCACTATCTGAAAATGAAGTATGACATCATGAAGGTCCTCTGTGAAACAAGTTACTTGCAGCTCCCCCTCGGATGATAAGTCACCTGAAGAATTAGTTTGGCCCTCTGTCAAGGTGGGCAAACCCACCACCAAATCTGGAAAGCTAGTTCTCAGCTCCCGTGAAGACATGATGCACCTCTAAACCCTGAAATGAGTTCAAATTGCTTCTTCAGACAGGTGTGTGAGAAGGTCACCTCGTAGTCTCCGACCAAGCAAGGGGGCATTCTTCTGCCGTCCATTATTATGCCGATTACAATATAGGAGGGCCAAAACTGCAGGGGCGGATCCAGTAAAGGGACATGGGTGTACACATGTACACCCAATAATTTTTGCAAAAACTTCGAAGTTAGGAGGCTTATCAAATAGCTAAATAGCTTTAGGTTAGGGTTTCGGTGCTCAGCTTCGCACAGCATAAGGGAAGGGAAGAGAAGGTGTGGGAGTACCTGGTGGGTGCTCGTCGCCGGCGAAGGGACCAACGAAAACCTCAGCACCTGGCCTAGGGCGGCGGCGGCCCAACAGTCGTCTGAGAGCGAGAGGGTAGCGAGAGAGAGAGAGAGACGAACGAGGAGCGAAGAGGGATGCAGCGGACGGAAAGGGGGAATGGAATGCAGGTTATGCATCGACGGCGGGAAAAAAAACGCACGGGCTTCTTGTGGGCCGTTTTCCAGTTTCTTTGAAAATTTATGTTTTTTTATTTTTCTTTCACTCCTTTTAATTTTTTATTCTTGTTGATTTCATATCTACTCTCTTTATTGGACACTATCAACGGCTAGTAAAACATTTGTTTTAAATAACATAACAGAAATTTCAATATCTATTCTCTTCGTTGTACATTATCAGTGGCTAGTAAATATACAGTACATTGTAAATAAGTAAACGGAACTTTTTATATTTTATTATGGTTGAATATTTTTCTATTGAAGCTAGAAGCCATTTTTGCAAGAACATATACCAATTTCACAAACCAAGAAGTGATAGCAACATTTTTCTAAAATAAAAACAATTTTCTCTTTGTGACAATTTCCCAAGTGAATACTAAATATTTTTGTGCTAAACACGAAACAATAGTTCCCATGAACTAGGAACATTGCTATCATCAATAAAAAAATGGTATGAACTCATTAAAAAAATTCATGCTCCAACAAGAACTAATAAAGAGTACTGACACTTCAATATCTCATGAAAATTTTGAGTCTTCTTAGCACTCTCTTTTCATTCTATAATTTACTGAAGATTTTTATGCTGTAACAGGGTTAAAGATTATGTTGCAAATTTTAAAGTACTTTTGTGGCTAGCATTGTCACACTTTATCAACCTTAAACAAATCTGGCTAAGCGAGTGTTTATTATCTGCAAGGCATAAAGACGGTAGAGGCACATAGTGGCGTTAGGTCCATAGAAAAGCTCCACCCAAAAACAAAGGTATACAAGTTGAAAAGATAGACATCGTTATAAGGAAAGAGCAAAAGAAGGCTTGACATGACAGGATAGAATAGAACTAGTTTGACTATAAAAACAATTATGCATTCGAAAAAAGTATTGTACAAATAACAATACTGCATAATTAATAAATTAGGAATGTTGCCACTCTTACGTAACACTAGATGTCCTTTATGGAACAAATGGGGTTTTTTTCTACAGGTAGAACATTTTTTTACTTACCCCTTTGTAGTAAAATATATTTTCGGGTTAGAAGCAACTTTTAGAGTAGAAAAAAGCAATATTTTATTAAGAGGAAAGAAATATTATTATAGTAGAAAAAAGTTAGGGGATGTGACACATTTGCCTTCCTAGTATGTTATGGAATAGGAAACTTTTTCGTGAGAAACTTTCGATAAATGGGAGTATGCATAAGACATAATTATCATACCTTAGACAATATAATATTGTGGGTGTTTGGGACTGTTCCGCTCTATGTTTTTCAGCTTCACTCTATGTTTTTTAGTCAAACGGTTTCAACTCCACGTACTCTGTTCGAGATAAAAGGGTGAAGTTGTGAGAGCACCTAAAGAGGTGCTCCACAGCCTCCAGCTTTTTGGGGAGCTGCTCCACGATGGAGTTTGTGGAACAGAGTTCGTGGAGCAATCCCAAACACCCCGATATCTAGATATTTTGCATGAGAAATATCTAGGCAATAGATAAATGCAAACAATATGCTACATGGAGTACTCTAGATCTAGATATTTTGTGTAATGAGAAATATATGATGAATAGATAAACATGAGAGATATTCTAAAATATAGAAAAGTGTAGAAGGTTGCCACCATAAAGCTATAAATACATATATAGACTTGTGTTCATTCCATAGGTACCAAGTCAGCAAGTGAGTTATCAAAAGTTACGAAAGTGGTCATCACATATTTAGTTTAAAAATACTTCATAGTTATTTCGAAGTTTATAAGTGTGTATGTTAAAAGTTTGTTTATAATGAGTTAGACATGATTATAAATAAAATAAAAGGGAAAAATGTTTTGCACACCCAATATTATAATACTGCGTCCGCCATTGCAAAACTGATTGAGCCATCTAATTGGGGGTAAATCTGTTATTTACCGAGTAGGGCGAGATTTTAGAGCGTGGTAATCATGTGGGTGACAGATGCTATAGGCCACAGCAAAGTTAAAATGTCCGCAATAGCCAAGCAACATGGCAACACGGAGCATGCACCAGAGCACACACCACGTTGCCGCCGGCTAGAATTGCAAGTCCCAGCAAGCAGGGGCGGATCCAGCATACATGATGATTTCTTTTACCACAAATCTAAGCTGGGTCAGATCCTAATGATGCATTGGGGGTTGGATTGGGTTGGGATTGGGGGTGGGCAGTCAGTGGTGTGGGTGGACGCGGAAAGAGGCGTACCTAGTCAATTATGGTCGCTGGTGAAAGGTAGGTGAAGACCTTAGCCAGTGCTGTTGCCGCCGGCAAGGAACCGTGACGGTGAGCCAGTACGGCGGAATTTATTGGTTGCCTACTCCCGCGACGCGAGCGGGGATGGGATGGAATGGAACATTAGAACCTCCTACCCCTTTCTTTTTAAGAGAAAGGCCAGATTTTCTTGTTTTTATCTATAAGATTCTGGACCGTTCATTTTGTTTGAAGATTCGTGCTGTCCTCTGGATGGACTCTCTAGCTATCAACTAACAGATTTGTTCTGTCAAAATCATTTTGACCAATAAAAAGATGATAACTCAGCAAAAAAACTGACTTTGTACTGCTAGGTTCAAAACTTTGAACTATCACATTATGAACTTTGAATTGCCAGGTTTAAAACTTTACAATCAGGATTTATAAACTTTCAACTATAACATTACAAATTTTGTACTGCTAGGTTCAAAATTTTCAACTATCACATTATAAACTTTGTATCACTAGATTCAGAACTTTACATCTAGGATTTATAAACTTTCAATTATGACATTACAAACTTTATACTTCTAGGTATAGAACTTTGAACTATGACATTATAAACTTTTGTGTTGCTAGTTCAAAACTTTACACTCAGGATTCATAAACTTTTCATCTATGACATTATAAACTTTGTACTGCTAGGTTCAAAACTTTGAACTATAACATTATAAACTTTGTACTGCAAGGTCCACAACTCAAATGCAAAATTCAACAGATATAAAGCCAATAAAATTGTCGACAGATTTATATGTGTATTATCTGTCAGATTTTATTTTGGTGAGCTGTCTTCTTTTTTGATTGGCTAAAAATCTGACAGATTTTGGCAAAAGAAATCTATCACCAGATTACTAGACAGACCCTTTTTTTAATTACATGGTACAACATTGGAACCCCCTCATGTTTGGTTGGGTGTATATAAATGATTGGGATGGATCATGCTGTATGGATGGATTATGGATGAGATAAGTTCAAATAGGATGGTTGTTTGGTTACCTGCACATATGATACATGATTTTTGTTTGAATGGTTGTATGGAATAGTATGGTTCCATACAAGATAATGTTGGTTGGTTGAATGGGCATATCCAAGAATTCACCAAGATTCTGTATATTGCACAAATTTGTTATTAAGAATGTAGCAATATTTCATAATAAGAGAATAAAATTAAGCAAGATAAGTCGCCACTGATTTGTTATATTATATTAAAAAATCTCTACTACAATGACTTTCCATAGTGCCAGGACTGATGAGGCCCAATAAATAAAACCACTATGGAACTATGCAAGTATGAGTACATATGCAGCTCTAATGAATATAATCTTTTTCTGTACAAGCTGCATGTGCTCCATCTACAATGTGCAATACAAAGCATTATATAGGTTTAGATTTGGAAAAGAGAAGGGCGTTACTAGCGCCCGACTGTCCGGAGCCCCCAAAAATATTGAACGCCCTGATCCTTCACACAGGAGGCCGCGCCACATGCGAAAAGAAGCCCACACTGTCTATTTTTAACACCCCACCGTGTGGACCCCACACTGCAATTTCGTCGGACCACCACGTCCGCACGCAGTAACCCACATGGATCCCAGTCACAGGCCCCGCCTATGGATGCCGCGCCGCGGATGCGTCTGCCGGCCTCAGGCGCCCGCACGGCGACCCATGGTGGTGCCCTAGCAGCTGTGGCAGGTGGGTCCCATTGCAACATGTGCAACCCCAATCTACTTTTACAACATCCAGATGAAACACTTGAAACATACGTCCAAAATAGCTGAAATACTTGCAATATACGTTTGAAACACTTGAAAAAACAATAGAAAAAAACTTTAAAACACATGTGTAGCCATTGCAAATATCCAGATGAAACAGTTGCAACATACATATGAAAACACAAGAAACACTTGCATATATATGCAACATCCAGATCTACTTTTGCAATATCCAAATGAAACACTTGCAACATACGTCTGAAATAGATGAAACATTTGGAACATACAATTGAACAATGTTCGACAAGGCACTATTCCGCGCTCGCCTAGGCGTGCTTATGCGCTGGGCGACGGGGTACCGCGGTGCCCAGACTTGTCGTCCCCCTGTCCCTCTGTGTAGATCCTCGATTAATGGGACTGCGGGCGGCGTCGAAGATGGCAAACACGGTTGCGCGGTGGAGGAGACAGCATGCTTGGCTGAGAGGAGGCTGGCGGCGCCGGGGAAGGAAGGAAGGAG